CGGAATGGCTCCAGGCGGCTTTGGACGTCTGTGTGTGAAAACGTCCTAAGAAATGGTGGCATCACTAAGGTTGGTATCATCCAGCACAGTAATTCATGGTGTCACACACATCCCTTGATCTTCTCCCATACAACACCATATAGAATCCTTAGTAATGTTTTTTGTACTAATGTTACTCATAAATCACCATTCTCATATGTCGTAATATGAGCGTAATGGAAAAAGTTGTGACATAAATTTTAAATTATAATATCATATGCAGAGCCTGAATGTATATGCAGTTTCATGTAGTTAAAGTGAGAATGTGGTAAGATGTGATGTTTTTTTAAAAAAAAATTAAAGAATTTAAAAGTTTATTTTAAAAAATGTTTTTTATTTAAATTTAAATTTAACATTTATTTTTAGGGGGGGGACACCTGGGGCGTCTCCTTTCTCCTCCCAATGAGCTTCACACCATTCACACCTTCTCTTCAGCATTTTAAAGGGACACAGATAAACAGCACAGAGCCCATTTCTGCCAAAAGGCAGATGTTTGGGAAGCAGTGGTGTCAGCCCCCTTAGAGTGTCATCTGGTGCAGTCCGCATCCACCTAATGATGCCCCTGCTGTAAAGCATCATTCTTGCTTCTTGCAAGAATATCTTTGAACATTTTGAAAGAGAACTGTTCTTTTCCTCTTTTTTGTGCTATGTATCTGCTTTTGCCATCATCTCATAAATCTCCATTGCTCGTCTCAATAATACCTCTTAAACATGGAACCTGGGGTTTGATTGCTTACTTTATTCAATGATCTTTCTCTCATGTTCCAGACTATATTTATCACACTAGATCATTATCTGGCAATCCAGAACCTATCCAGTGTTTTGGATTATTGACCAAGACTGATGGTCTGAGATGGTCCGAATAGGCCTTGCATCTTCATAGAAATGGTTTCTCATTGACTGTGGGCTCTGATGCTGTGTCTTTACCTGACCTCCTGCAGAGAGTAGTACTGGAAAGATCCTCTGTGTGTAGGACATCCACAACTTCTGTTCCCATTTCCTCCCATTTCCTTTCAAATTCCCCTCAGAAGATCACTCCAAAGAAGGAATGAAATACGGTACTTCATTGTTTACTGAGGGGGCAATAGCTCATGTTCAATGTGCTGGACTTGAGAATGAGAAACAGCCCAATCTCTGACACCATATATACCACCTTGAGTTGTTGCATACCAATTTGATGATATTTGTATAATGTTGCTACAGTTGGCCCTCCATATCCATGGATACTGCATCCATGGATTCAACCATCCACAGCTTTAAAATATTCTTTTTAGATAATTCCAAAAAACAAACCTTGATTTTTGCCATTTTATATAAGGGACACCCATTTTACTATGCCATTGTATATAATGGGACTTGAACATCTACAAAATTTGGCATCCACTGGAGATCCTGGAACTAATAAATACATAAAATATATGCTTTCCCCTTTACCTGTGTGTCTTAAGGGTAAAAGCATTGAGGCTTAGGTGCCCCAATAGGCTCTGCTCTTAATACTAAGTAGCAGGTGAGTTAGAATGATAAATCGTTTCTTTTTTTATGAAGAAAAACACATGGGAATATGTCAATGTCACAATGCAGAACAGCTTATACAATTTTATACTTGTTCCCGCATCATAGCCTCTGACTATTCCAGTCTGGCAGGGACAGTGCCATTTAATCATCTGTTGTCTCACTTTTTCATCTGCGTTTAAAAAGTCCCAGTTTCTCTCTCCTCTTCCCATTTTCCCCTTTTGTCATATACTTACTGCAAGATGAGTTCAAAGTGCAAAAGTAGTTTGCACTCAGTGCGGGGAGAGGAGAGAAGAGGTAGAATCTTACCCTCCCCAGTACACTCAGGTAAAAGCAAATTGTGCAGCTTCTGCTAGTTCATGTGTCCTTTCTTATTAATAAGTTTTGTCATCTTGAGCACACTGTAATGTTGCTTAGCCACAAGTGTCCTGGGAGATTATCACACTTGTAAAAAAAAACCCGGCTTACCTCTCCCAAGTTGAATTCTAATTCAGGAGACAGACAGGTCCTATCACACAAGTTTTGCCACTGAATCTGCTGGCCGAATATGGCCCAGCTACATCCAGGGTCCAAGGATCACTCAGCAAGCCACTTCCCCACTTTGAAAAGCAGCTTGCTGAGTACTCATGGGACCCCAGATGCAGCCAGGGAGTATTCAGCTGGTAGATACTTATTCATGCAATAGGACCCAACTGCCTCCTGAATTATTATTCAACTTGGGAACAGTAAGCTGGGTTTTTTTACAAGTGCGATTATCTCCCTGGTTTTCATCTGTGATCTATTGGAGGGTATGCAACATACACACACAGAGATGGAACAAACGATAGCCATAACCAATGGGGTTGCACCACACCAGAGAGGAAAACAGATTGCCCCATTAAAGGTTCCCTGAAGATACATTCAGTTTACCGTACGGACATCCCCACATGAATGTCATGAAACCCTGACAGACTTGCAGTGTTGATATGTACCCCAAGACTTTTCTAATCCAGCTTCCACAATCTACATCTAAAGCATCCTTGACAGGCACTCATGCAAAGCTTTGTTTAAAAAATCTCCAACAAATAAGCAACTGGTTTTACCGGAGTTTTGTTGTTTTTATGTACTTTGAAGCTGTTTTTGACTTAAGATAACACTAAGGCAAATCTATGATGGGGTACTTGGTAAGTTTCTTCAGAGAGGGTTTGCCCTTGCCATCCTCTGAGGCTGAGGGAGTGTGACTTTTACTCAGGGTCACCCAATGGGTTTACATGGCTGAGCTAGGACTCGAACCCTGATCTCTAGAGTCATATTTCAGCGCTCAAACCACTACACCACACTGGCTGTCAAAGTTTACTTTTTTGGACTACAAATACCAGATGTCTACTGACTATGAATAATTTTGGGAGTTCTACTCCAAACAAGGTAAATTTTCCAAGCTTTTACAAGGATTTAGGCCCTCTTATCATTCTCTGGTGTGGTCTCTCCCAACAGTCCATTTTGAGATCCCTCCCTACACATCTCTTGAATCTGGTTTGACAGTAGAGAAGGAGGCAGCTGTTTCCCCTCGATGAGGCCAGAAATGACCAGAAGACCACCAACAGCAGCCCTGCAAAGAAAGAAAGTCAAAAACTATCCTCTTGAGTCCTGGCTGCTACATTTGGATATGTTAATTCGTTTTTAATGTATGCACATTTAAATTTGACCCTTAACTACTGGGCATGCTGAAATGGGAAAAGAGAGACGCAGAGGGAAACATCTAGGCAGATTTAAAGCTGTCTCACTAGCAGCCCAGCTCTTATCGGCTCCTGCCAGCCAAAGCATTGAAGGGATTTGGATGGGAACTGGATCAGCTCCCCACTAGGCTGGCTCTTTCTGCATTGATCTCAGAGCTCCTCTGATCACTGACAGAGCTGCTGCTGAATGGAGAGAAAAAGTAACTGAAAATGGGTTAGCTGGGAATCTACTCACAATCAGCACATTCCTGGGATAGGCTAGTAGAGTCCTCTACTTCAGCCTCCTCCAACCCAGCAACCTCCAGAGAGGCTGGGCTGCAGCATCTATCATCCCCAATAGCACATCTTGACTGAGAATGGGAATTGCCATCCAGATGGAGTTTAATAAGTTTACCTTTTCTTTTCTTTTCTTTTTTGGCAATCCCTCCTAGAATGTTTTAGCCAATATGGCCAATTAAGAAGTATAGTGGGCCCTTGGTATTAACTGGAATTTGGTTCCAGGACCAAATTTGGATCCAGGACCACCCGTGGACACAAAAATTGTGGATGCTCAATTCCCATTAAATAAAATGGCATAGTGAAATGGTGGCCTTACATATAATAGTAAATTCAAGATTTGCTTTTTGGAATTTATATCTTATGGAATATTTTCAAGCCATGGATGGTTGAATCTGTGGATAAAAAAATTTGTGGATATAGAGAGCCAACTGCATTCAAACTATCAAGCTGAATACATTGGCTGGAATCCAGTCATTGCTAGTGGTTACTCTTTTTTCAGGGCTGTACAAGGAAGACAGATGAAATCTATTGGTTCCCTGCAGTTGCTTTCTTCCATATTTTCCTTCCTTGATGGCCTCTGCACTCACCGTCTTTCTCCTCCTGCCCTAGTGCCTACTGTATGCCAGTTTAGCTATGCCAATGTTGTGCACTAACACTGCCTATCAACATTCTGCCTATTGTCTTTTTATGCACTACAGAGTGTGTCTGTACTTCAGGTATAGCAGTTTGATACCACTTTAATTGCCATGGCTGCATCCTATGGAATCCTGGGATATTCTTCAATAATTCCCCAGTACTTTCCATTCAAATAATATACTGGAGGTCTCTGGCAGAGAAGTCAAAACCTGTCACAAAATTACTAATCCCCAGAATTCCATATGAAACAACCATGAAAGTTAAAGTGGTGATCTTGAAAAATCAGGGCTGTGACTCCCATAATACTTTACCATTAATTGATCATGCTGACTGAGACTTCTTTGAAATGTACCCCAAAATATTTCATACTATCCAACATTTCATAGTTGAAAACCAGGACAGTTGAAAACTGCATAGTTGAAAACTGGAGTGAAGATGACAAAAGTTGTTAATGAGGAAGAATAAACAAGCTAGGAGAGACTTTGGCTGTTTGCTTTTGCCTGAGCCTACAGGGAAGGGCAAGATCCCACCCCTTTGTTTCTCTGTCCCTGCCGAGTTTACTGAGTGCAAGCTACTTTTGCATTTTGAACTCTGTTTGCATCAGGGGAAGGACATATTCCATCTTGTTTAATGGAAGCAGCGGTTAGGCTGCTTATGAAAAAACCTTCCCTGGACCCCCTGGATATGAATAATTATAGGCCGGTGTCCATGTTACCTTTTTTAAGCAAAGTGATTGAGAGGGCGGTTGCTCTTCTACTCCAAGCTGTCTTGGATGAAACCGATTATCTAGATCCATTTCAAACGGGCTTTAGGACGGGATTTGGAGTTGAGACTGCCATGGTTGCTTTGACCTTCGTCTGGGCATCAACAGGGGTAACGTGACCCTGTTGGTGCTATTAGACCTCTCAGTGGCTTTTGATACGTTAGATCATAGCATCCTCTTGGGTCGCGTGAGTGGATTAGGAATCAGAGCACTGCGCTACAATGGATTCATTCCTTTCTCTCGGGCAGATCCCAGATGGTGCTGCTTGGGGACAGTTGCCCTGCAAAAAAAGATCTCAACTGTGGCATTCCTCAAGGCGCCATACTGTCCCCAATGTTGTTTAATATATATATATATATGAAGCCGCTGGGTGAGATTATCCTGAGATGTGGGGCTGGGTGTTATCAGTACGCTGATGACACCCAGATCTATTTCTCCATGTCTCGATCGTTGGCCGTGGCTCCCAATGGCGTCTCTCCTCTCAATGAAATTACTTAAGGCAGTAATGGGCTGGATAAGGAAAAACAGATTGAAGCTGAATCCAGACAAAACGGAGGTGCTCACAGTAGCAGCCCTGAAACAGGGAATTGGGTTGCAACCTCCAGTCCTGGACAGGGTCACACTCTCCATGAAGGACTGTGTTCGCAGTCTGGGGGTTCTCTTGGATTTGTCACTCCTGATGACTAATCAGGTAAATGCGATGGTCAGGGCACCTGTTATCAGCTTTGGCTGATACGCCAGCTGCGCCCTTTCCTGGAAGTAAAGGACCTTGAGACTGTTGTGCATGTGCTGGTAATCTCTTGTCTGAATTTCTGTAATGCGCTCTAAATGGGGCTACCCTCGTGCTTGGTCCGGAAACTTCAGTTAGTCCAGAATATGGCAGCCATAGTGGTCTCGGGAACATCTAGAAGCAACCACATAACACCAGTACTGAAGTCTCTTCACTGGCTGCCCATCAGTTTCTGGGCCCAGTAAAATAGGGGTAGGCAACCTTTCCCCTTTAAGGGCCGAGGGACTTCAGCTCCCAGAAGCCTCAGCCATTTTGGCCAATAGTCCCATGTTGGCCAATAGCTCTTGGGATTCTGGGAGCTGAAGTCCCTTGGCCCTTAAAGGGGAAAGGTTGCCTACCCCTGCAGTATAAGGTGTTGGTTGTGACCTTTAAAGCTCTAAATGGCTTGGGTCCAAACTATATTCGGGACCGCCTCCTCCCATACAATCCACCCCGTGCACTCTGGTCCTTTGGGAGGAATTTGTTGCAGCCGATAAAAACAAGACTATCTGCAACCTCCCAGAGGGCCTTTTCAGTAACCGCTCCCAGACTATGGAATGGCCTGCTATGGAATGGCCTGCCGGACAAGATCCATCAGATTACAACCTTAAGCAGCTTTAAAAAGGCTGTGAAGATGGATCTCTTCTGGCAGTCCTTTTCTAACTAGATTTTCCCAGCCTCAGGAGTTGTTTTAGTTATCTCTCCTTTTTTGGCCCTCGTTGCTGCCCTGCTTGTGCTGTACTTCTTTTTCCCCCACAGGTTTTAATGATACATGATTTAATACTTTTTTTAGGGGTGGGTGGGTTCTGGGGATTTTAGATTGTATTTTTAGGATGAATCATATTGTATGAATTTTAATTGTTGTAAGCCGCTCCAATTGGTTGACAGAGGGGTGGGGTACAAATAAATTTTATTAATATTATTATTATGAAGTAAGCTGAGAACCTAGGGCAGGGGTAGGCAACCTTTCCCCTTTAAGGGCCAAGGGACTTCAGCTCCCAGAATCCCAGGAGCTATTGGCCAACATGGGACTATTGGCCAACATGGCTGAGGCTTCTGGGAGCTGAAGTCCCTTGGCCCTTAAAGGGGAAAGGTTGCCTACCCCTGACCTAGGGGAAAAGTGGGAGGAGGAGGAAGAAACTGGGACATTTTAAAAGCAACTGAAAAAGTGGTACGACAGAGGACTAATCAGGGCTGCTCATGCCAAACTGGGAGAGTTGGAAAGTATGATAGCTGGAGGGCACTACAATGCTTTATCCTGGCAATAAAAGAAGTTACTTTCACTTTGTATGACAGATGAAATACGCATCCTGGAAAACAGAACAAAGGTCCCTCTGCTCCTTGCAGGCAACCCATGGCTCATGCACTTTTCCTTTGCTCAGTCTGGAATTGTCTTCTGCTACCTTCACAGCTAATTCAGATGGCAAGCCATAAAAAAAGGGAGGCTGCTCCAAAATTCCTTGCTGGAAGAGAAAGAGAAAAGGAAGGGAAAGGAACAGAGACCCTTCTGGGGGCCTCTACCCAGATGTTGTCAGTTAGTGGTGATAAGATCTCGGCATATTAATGCAAACAGCGGGGGCTTTGTGGGGTTTTGGATGTGATGCTATCGCTCTGCTGGAATGCAGGGCAGCCCCAGGAGACAATGCTCACACACTCTGGGTACGCAGGCAGGTAGAAAAGGAGACCTAAAAGGAGGGGGCACAAGGAAAAGCTTGTGCAACAGAGTCTTCCCAGACCTCCGCCACCAAGTTGTAGTTCTTTACCATCAGGTGAACCACGCTCCACATGTTACTATGGGGGATGACAACTTCCAGAATCCTTCAGCCAACATGGACAACAGATTCTTGAAGCTGCATCCCCAAAATGTAGGATGGGTAGCATCCTGTTAGTGACATATACAGGCATATGTTATACAGTACAGATTGATTTTTTTATGGCAATACACAATGCATTTTATCACCATATTTGTTCAACATGTATGCAGAAAATATCATATGCAGAGCAGGCTTAGACTCAAAGGCATGAAGAGTGAAGATTGGAGGGAGGAACATGAACAGCCTTAGAGATGGCACCATACTACTAGCAGAAAAGAAAAAAAAAAACTTGGAACACTTACTAAAGAAAGTCAAAGAAAAAAAATTGCTAAGACAGCCTTAATGCT